ATAGATGAATAGGGATGTCAGCGAGGACTAACGGCGGTTAGCCGGAGATTATTGGTGGGAGGAACTACCACGAATGTAATAACTTACAAACAAAAAATAATGTAAACTATGAAAAGAATGGCCCCAATGGTTCAGCGACAGGGTGGGGAATTTCAACGTGAACTTTCATTTTGAGACAGGAGCTCACTCTATAGCTCAGGCTGGCCTCAGACTTACGGCAATCCTCCTGCCTTAGCCTACACCATACTCAGCCTCAGTGAGTTTGAACAGACAGATCGTAGTTGCAGTCAGGGCTACAGAAGGATCTTTCATAGTCTGTCAGAATATTGGGCTGTTTGGACACAGCAATCAGACACTCTTAGAAGTGTACACCCTCATCCATGTTCCTGCCATTCACCACAGCCTTACATCCTAATTCCTGAAACTCAGCCTCCTCAGCGAAGTTTCTTCAAGTGCATATGACTCCCCTCTCATCCTTCTCCAGGCTGAATATAGAATGCCAAAAGAGGTTGTCTGTTAAACTTGTAACTATAAATTCAGCCAACGTCATCTTCCATCCCAAAAATGTGTTTTGTTTGACTGTAAGGTGATATACTAAATATATATTTACATATATTTGCTTTGGGCTGTTATTTGTGTATATGCATATTATATTATTCATTCACTTAGATACATGATGCATCTTTGTTTGGGAAGCACTTAGGATCCAGTACCAGAATTATGGAACTCTTCACACAACACTGACCATCAAGGCCAATTTAAAGTACCTGTTTTACTATAATTCTGGACACATCATGTTGAGAGGAGAATTTACAGGAAATGTGAATCTGAAAATGCTTTTTTTTTCTTTCGAGACAAGCTCTTACTAGTCTAAGCTGGCCTTGAGCTACGTAGCTGAGGCTGAACTTGAACATCTGACCACTCGGCTTACACCTCCTGAGTGTTGGATTACAGGCATGCACCAAGCCCAGATGGTGCTGGAGGAGATTGAACCAGGGCTTATGCACGCTAATCAAGCTACATCTCTAGCCACTGAGAACTTTAATAAAATAGTAATAATAATAATAACAGAAACACAAACATCATTTACTGTATCTGGAGGAAGGATTTGCAAGGAAAAGGTAACAGCTGTGGTAAAAGTAGTTTAGAAATGATCTAGAATAAAAAAGAAAACCAGGAGATAGCAGAGGAAGGAAGGCAGAAATGGAGCATGCAGAGCAAACAACCAGAGCAGAGCTTTTTAGAGGCCCAAGGACACATCAAAGAAAAACAGAGCATTTCAACAAGGGTGTTAAACATGGGAAAGAGCCAAAGAGGGCCATGGGCTTTTAAAAAAGGGGGCACGAAGAAGTAGCGGTGTATGTTGGCAGAAAGAAATGAAGAGATGAGAGGAAGGAGAAAATTTATAGCAGAGGAAGTTGGTGTGGAGTTTTCCTCTCAAGATGTCCAGCAGAGCAAGAAGAAATAAAAGCCCGGACCACTGGGAAGGAGGCACGGCCGGGGCTGGAACACCATGAGACAGAGGAGCAGGGTCCAAAGCAGGACATTTTCTTCTTTTCATTAACTGACCCAGATTTTCTTGTTTAGGACCAAACACAACTGCAGAGTTTAATGCTCTTTAAATTACAAAGACCCTAACCCTTGCGATTGCCTTTGGGGCAAGATAGCACACATTATAACGATCAAGATAGACTGTGTCTGTTTCCGAGACAGCACAAACAAATCCATTTTAGAAGTCACCGTAAGTGGCTGTGCTGTAGACCCACGACTGTGAGTTAGACAGCTGTCTTCCTCTTGTGGGCCACACAGCAAACACAGCAACTTAGGGCTGCCTACCAGTCCACACTAGACAGTCAGTAACCCAGCACACGCGGCGGGACTGTGACCCGCTTTTCTTTGCCTACTGGAATCCGATGCCCATCCCAAGGAATCTTTTACTTAGGTCAGAATGCACAGGACAGGCTAAAGGGCTGTGGAGGAAAAGTTAAGGTTATAAATAAAGACAATTAACTAAAGGAAAGGGAAGCAGAAGTGTGTTGCTGATAAGAACCAAGACGGATATGCAGAATTCAGCGCAGTCCAAAAGCCCCGAGGAGCTCCAGATCAGAAAGAAAAACACTCAACATCATACAGCCCATCTCTCTCTCCCTCTCCCTCTCTCTCCCTCTCCCTCTCCCTCTCTCTCCCTCTCCCTCTCTCTCTGTTCTGGAATTTACCAGCTCAAGATGATCTTCCCACCCCAGCCTTCCCATCCCAAGAGCACAGGCAGGAGCTACCAGGTTCGGCCATATGATCAACTAATCTTTTAAAATGTTTTAAGGCTTACTCGTGTGTGTGTTTTCCATCCATGGGCATGCTGGGTGCCCAAAATCAGAAAAGGCTGTCAGATGCCCTGGTACTGGGATTATGAATGGTTGTGAACAACCATGTGAGTGCTGGGAATCAAACCCAGGTCTTCAAGTATAAATGCTCTTAAACCCCAAACCATCTCTCCAGCCCCCATAAAACTAATCTTAATGACTTAAGTTTTGGTATTAAGTCAAACACATAACATTGGTTTTCAACTTTTATCCAAGATTTTATTTTAAAATTCAGTAAGAGTAAATTGTTTTTTAAGGTAGGGTCTCACTCTGTAGCCCAAGTTGGCCTCGTGCTAGTGGCAACCCAGTTTTCTCGGCACAGGGCTGGTTATATGGAAACAACCCTAACGGTCTTGCTTTGGGGGCCTGGGATGGGTTACTGAACGGCAAGCTGGTTACTACAGTAGACAGATTACTTCGTTTTCACACCATCCACACCTTTGCTGTGCCGGCCTACATGGTGTTCCAGGGTACCTGAGAAATCCAAACATAATTTCTCCACCACGGAAAGCCTTTTCAGAGCCAGGAACTACTGCAAAGATCCAGATACTCGAACTCTCCATCTCCCTGAAGGCTCTCCTTCACACAGGCCTCTGGACACACACCTCTGGCCCATCACACCTTACCTGCTGGGATGGTGGATGCTTTGCTCTCAGAAGCCTAACCCAGCCTGAGCCTCACCATCTGCCTCCTGGTTTTTCTGGATCCTCCTCTCTCTAGGAAGACCTTTCCTCCGTCCCTCCCCCCAAGTTTCCCAGGGCCTCTACCTTGCCTGGCTGCCTCTATGCAGAAACAAACTGAATTTAGGGGCTTTGCATTTTGCACTGTGGTGCCAGCTGTGCAGAAAGCCCCTTCCGTGATTTCTTTGGGCTCCTTTAAGACCCTCCCTCCCCCGGGCTCCAGACCTCCAATCTCCCAGAGGCATCATCTTCAAAGGCCATGCTCTGTCCCATCTGGGCAAGGCGGGCAGCAGCGTGGGGTGACTCAGCCCCGGAATGTGCTCACTTCCCCACTCTGCACACCTGCCTGCACGGCTGGAACACAGCCCGGCCCCCTCCAGCCGATGTTTTCCTTTCCCTGCACAGGTGGCCGGTGCCAACCCCTATCCCGACTCCCGCCCTGCCCCTTGCCCCAAAAGCTGCTCTCCCGAGACTCAGTGGGCTGCGCTTTAACCACCGATACCCCTACATAGCCACAGCAGTGCCCAGGCCACCCCCTACACATCCACAGCAGTGCCCAGGCCACCCCCTACACATCCACAGCAGTGCCCAGGCCACCCCCTACACATCCACAGCAGTGCCCAGGCCACCCCCCTACACATCCACAGCAGTACCCAGGCCATCAACCAGTTCTACATTGCCCTGCAACGTCAGAAAGTAATCCTGCTCAGCCCCAGGCTCCTTCCAGAAGTTCCCAAGGCTACATGCCTGCTTCATCTGCATTCCAGGAGGCTAATTCTCACTTCAAAGTTTGCTGTGGGTCATACACCAGTGCCCACCAGGTCCCACTTCTGGACCCCCACCGCCTCCAGGATCTCTAGCTTCCCACTCCCTTCCGCTTCTAGACAGTAGTTACTGAGAAAACAGTCTGCATTAGCCTTCAGGTGGGTGCCCCACGAAGCAGTGGTAGAGCTACCTGATGACCAGACTTCTAAGCCCTATGTTTCATGCCTTTTAATCCCTTCTCCAACCAAGACAGCAGGGAGTCAAGGCCATGCCCCCTACACAGGAGCTAACCTGGCTACATCCTGCTAAGTTTTCCTTTGCTTTTGTCTTGACACCCCTCTGAAAGGGAATCTTGTTCTTTCACTCAATTTGGGGGGGTGGGGGTGCTTGGGGTGGAACCCAGGACATTGAGACGGTACAAGCACTCTATCAATGCACCACATCCCCAGCCAAAGCAAAGGGTATCTTGGAGGAAGACGGCTAAGGAATCAGAGGTGACAGTGACTGCTGAATAAGAAATGGCAGGCAGGGTGGCTTCTGAAAAAGCCCACCAGAAGTAAGTCCTATGTGCTGTATTAGGTGATGGAGTAAAGCTTGGAGTGAATGAGACTACAGACTTGAATGAAAACCAGAGCAAACGTCTGTGAGCAGGAGCAGGAGAGTTGGAACAACACTGGGCCTTTGAAATGTGGGAAAGTGAAGTAAAAGAAGTCCAGTTGGAGCAGGGCCTTAGTAACAAACTATTATCACAAGTGCTCCCAAAGGAGATTTGCGATCCACATGACGGGGGGAAAAAAGGGTCAGGATCAAATAAGAAAAAACAGAGTCCTAAAGCTAGTGGAAGGGAGGGAGGGTAAGACGAACCCTCTTCCCAAGGTACTGAGGTGGGGAAGGCAGCTTAATCAGCAGCATGACCTTTCATGTCCCTTCATCTGAGGGACGTCAGATGTCATGACTGAAACCATGTGGCTCCCAGGGCCACATTTGCTTTGGAAGGAGGCAGTAGGGTACCTGGGAGCTTAAATGTGGAAGGCAGACGTTGGCCTGGAGAGTGCAGTCCACAGTAGAGCTGCTTACTGGCTCACAGAGGAAAGAACACCAGCATTTTGCCTGAGCTTTAGCCTCAGTAAGTGGCTATTTTCTGAGGGCCATGGGCCAAAGACGGTGCTAAGGACATCGCACATGCCATCTCATGATGAGCCCACGAGCTGGCGTTTCCACTCTCAATGTACAGGTGAAGAAACGGGAGTACAGAGGTGAAGTGACTTGTGTGAGGCAGACGGCCAGTAAGAGTCGCCACCTGAATCCCACCAGTCCACCTACAGCCTTCCAGAGCCCGCAAAACTCAAAGAATGCCAAAGACTGAAGTCCACGAGGCCTTGTTCTGCCACCAGGAAAGAGGGGACACCTCTGTGGAAATGGGACGATTCCTATTACAGTACTCAGAAGAGATGCTGCTCTTTGAGGTAGGGCATTGCTAGGCATGGGGCAATCTGGCATCTGCTGCCCATTTGGGGTAAAAAACAATGGAAAGTTTATCTTTGGGGTGCCCACGGATGAACCCCTCTCCCACAATGCTGAGGGTGGCCATTTCTCAGATGCATCAGGGATACCCTGCCCCGGAACTGAAGGAAACATGCTCTCCACACAGATGCCCGCTGGCTCTCCTGGAGTCTCTGGCAGTTGCACCCTGCCGCAGCGCCTTGGTTTGGCTGGAGCACAGGATTAGCCATCCCCAGGAAATGCCTCCCTCCGGTCCAGGCAGGGATCCCAGCACACACACCCCTGGTGGTGGAGGGAGGGTTGATGGAATGCTTCCTCTCGGCAGGTCAAGATCTGGGGACCACCTGGGGCCTTCAACCCTCCCCCTCCTGGCTGGGGTAGTGCCCAGTCCAGTGCCCCTTCCATGGCCACCTCCCTCCTCCTAGCTGTGTGGGGGCATGAATCAGCTCTCACAGCTTGTTAAAAGCTGGACCTCTTGTTTTCATGCCCTCACCTCAGGAAACGGAGTTACAGCCTGTCCAGTTCTACTCAGCAGGGGGCCAGGGTCCTCACTTTATAAACATCACCAGCCTGTAAGAGCAGAGGGCACTGCCATGGTATGAGACAGGAGCCCAAGGAGAGAGAAACCCTAGAGTCAAGGAGCAAGGCAAGGAAAGCAAGGGGATCCGGCCAGAGGAATCTGAACACAAGCCAAGAAGGGTCTGAGAGCTGAGCTGCAGGAACGGCACTAAGGATGCTCTGGGCTGGACAGGGCAAGGGGATCCTGGGAGGCTGGAGGATCATCGGCTTGGTGGTGTCTCTGCTCCTGCAGCACCCGGGAGTTAACAGCAAGTGTTACTTCCAAGCTCAAGGTAAGGTGGACTGATGCTTAGGGGGAAGACGGGGGTGGTGAGCGCGGCTCAGAGGTGACCCTGTGTTCGAATATTCAGTCCTTCGATCTGTGAAACAGGAAGGGCTACAGAGAGGGCTAGTATGCATGGCTTCTCTCCTACCCCAGACCAGAAGGGACTGCGGCCAACACTCCCAGTTTTCACCTACTAACAGAACAATTCATTCTTCCCTAGCCCCCTGCCACTATGATGGGAAATATTTCACTCTGGGTGAATCCTGGCTCCGCAAGGACTGCTTCCATTGTACCTGTCTGCATCCTGTTGGTGTGGGCTGCTGTGACACGTAAGTGACCAAGAGTGGCCAGAGGGAATGCCACTGATGTGACTGAGGGATGGCCAGGGAGTAACTAGATTTCTGTGAGGCAAGAACAAACAGAAGAGCAGCATGCAACCGCAGATGTGAAGGCACTGACGAGAAAGGGAGTCGAGGTAGATCTGGAGGGACACACTCCTGCTTGGAAAACTACGAAGTCCTTCTATGGGACTAGAGAGCTAAGCGAGGGAGTCTGGGGGACACTAAAGGGGACTCTCAGAGGGTGGCTGAGAGGGAAGGGCATGCCATGAAGGTGGCTTTTCACTGTACTGACTCTCCTACTCTTTGGTTCCCTAGGTCTCAGCATCCCATTGACTTCCCCGCTGAGTGTGAAGTACGCCAGGAGGCAGGAACCTGTCAGTTCTCTCTGGTGCAAAAATCTGACCCTCGGCTGCCCTGCAAAGGGGGGGGACCCGACCTAGAATGGGGCTCAGCTAACACCCCTGTTCCTGGGGCTCCTGCTCCCCACTCCAGCTAAAGGATCACCCATCTGCTGACTGCTCACTGCTGCTGCCACTTCCAGGGAAACCACTAGCAGCTGCCAATTTACTCTGAATAAATAAATCAATGCCACAGCTGAAAGCCTGGTTCTCATCGCCTGTGCTGCGGGGCCCCGTGTGGGAAAAGCGGGCCCCACCCGAGTCCAGGTGTTGAGTTTCAGTATCGAGACGAAACTAGTGCCACGGTGGGCATGTGGGCCAGTTTCAGATAGTTATACTGCTGGTGCTGGGGCCTGGGGCAGCATATGAGACCAGGGTGGGGCTTGTAGGGAGCACTTTGATGGGAAGGTCCCAGCTGAAGGTGTCTACAGGCACCTGCTCAGGTCCTGTCCAGGTTGCAGGTTCAGGCTGCTCCAATGGGGGCAGAAGGACCAATCCTGGTTCTCGGGAAGTTACAAACTCGAAATGCAATCGCCACTTCAAAGACACTGTGAAAGGAAAAGACAGAGGGAGATACTCTAAAACCTCTGTTCTCAATCTATGGGTCTCAATCCCCTTATGGGTCAAAGGACCCTTTCACAGGGGTCGCCTAAGACCATCAGAAAAGAGAGATATTTATGCTATGATTCATAACAGTAGCAAAATCACAGTTATGAAGTAGCAATGAAAATAATTTTATGGTTGGGGGTCACCCCAACACGAGGAACTGTATGAAAGGGGTCACAGTGTTAGGAAGGTTGAGAAGCACTGGTCTAAAAGCAAGTAGGTCAGGTGTGGTGGCACACGCCTGTAATCCCAGTATTAGGTGAAGTCAATGGAACCACAAGTTCAAGCTCAGTTTGATGCCAGCTGGGGGGACTACATGAGACCCTAAATCAAAAAAGAAAAAAAAAGCAAGCAAGTGGTGGGTAGTAAAAGCCGATGCCAGGATGTGGTTAGTAAATGAAACAACAAACTCAGAACCACCAGGATGGCTCAGCAGGTTAAGGGGACTGGCCACCAAGCCTGGGAACCTGAATTTGATTCCCAGGACTCATATGGCAGAAAGAACCAGCTCCAGAAAGCTGTCCTCTGACCTGCACGCACATGCTGCGGGGCACCTGCCCAGATCCACACACAAAATACAATAAATAAATGCATTTAACATTCCCTGACTGGGTGTGATGGTCTCATCGCTCAGGAAGAGGAAGCAAGTGGATCTCTGTTTGAGGCCAACCTGGTTTACACAGTGAACTCCAGGCCAGCCACAACTACGGTGAAAACCCGTCTTTAAAAAAAAAAAAGCCATGCAGTGGTGGCAAAGCCTTTAATCCCAGCAGAGGCAGGTGGATCTCTGTGAGTTCGAGGCCAGCCTGGTCTACAGAGTGAGTTCTAGGACAGCCAGGACTACACAGAGAAACCCTGTCTCAAACGAACAAAACAAGGAAACACAGGGCAGGAGCCTCGATCAAACATTTCTTTTTAAGAAGTCTGGTGTGTTAACATGTTCACCAGAGATACCGTTAAGGATTGCAGCATCAACTCCTAGAAACACAAGGTCACCATAGTCAAAACTAGGTAGCTTGAAGTAAATGTGCTGAGTAGCCAGAGCTCAGCATCACGGGGCCAGGAACGGTACTTTAAAGCCAGTAAGAGTTCAGGGGTCAGCACATCTGACAGACGGGGAAAGAGGAAAGATGTGAGAAAATGCCAAGGCTTGGGTATGTATGTCTGGAGTTTTGGGACCAGGACCCATTACACCGGACCTAAGCGCGGCATTTACTTCCCCTACGCCCTTCTCCGAAACGGTGGGGTGCTCACCAATGGCAGTGCAGAAGCCAGGGGTAGAGCAGAGAGGGATGGGCAGAGAGAAGCTGGTTCTAGTTGTATGTAGGCAGGACTCCTGGTGCCGGGCATGAGTCACATGGGACACTGATGGGGCAACTCCTGTCCCACGGCGTCGCTGGTATTCAGGCTGTACGCGCTCTTCAGTCTGCAGGCTTACTGAAAACTGGGAGCAGAAAGAGAGACACATAGCAGCAGACATTCGGAAATATGGACTGTAGGTGAGTGGTGGCTCTGAGGAACCCCGACTTCCACTTCTACAAACCACCCCTCTTTATGCAGGCCCCTCTTCTGCCCTAGCCCTCCAGGCCGAGCACAATAAAAGCTGGTCCCTTCTCACCTGCAAACAAGCCACAGTTCCTTCCCCTAAGTTTAAGGTCCCCACCACGTCCTCGCCGAGTCTGTAGACAGATTTGAAGACACCAAAGGTCCCGACTTTCCCTCGGCCATCGCTGATATTGTATAGATCTGGGGAGGATAGATATCGTTTACACTGGGGAAAATCTAGACGGAGTCTCAGAGGCCAAAACATGAGACTTTATAATGGGGGCAAGGTATTAGGGACCATGAAGGGATGTGGTAGACAGGAGACTTTTTCAGACAAGAATACACTAAGGGAAGGGCTGGATCAGGGCAGTTATGAAAGGATTCTCACGGAGACTGCGGCAGGAGGTGGCAGCCATGAGGCGCTCCCCAGCCAGCTCAGCCAGCCATGAATCCTTCTTTCCACTCTCATCCTCCTCTAAGAACGGACTGGACGGAGCCACAGCCTCATCTTGGGGAAAGTGGACATCCTGAAGACCTAGAGAGAACGAGCAGAGGGAATGCTGGGAGGAATCAGAGATGTGACAGACAGTTGGTTTCAGAGTCCAGCCTGAGGAGGCTGAAGGGGAGCCATGCTTTAAGGTCTACGTCTCAGCTCGCTCCCCACCTCATCCCCAGCACTGTCCCTAAGGCCAGGAGTCCCCACAGGTCCCCTTGGCAAGCCTCTGCCCCAAGCCTTCCCTCTAGGAACCTGACTCACCAGTCAGCACAAGAACTCTCAAAGGGACTCTGAGTAAAGTGATGGGCGAGTTGACGCGCTGGCAGCCGATGGTCAGTTTGTAGACGTACTTGACCGACTGACCCCGAAAGGAAGGTGGACCCTCCGTGGGCAGCACTTCGCTGTAGGAGTCTGGTTGGGAAAATAGTAGTCAGGGCAGCTGGAGGCAGCAGGGTCCTCCCTCCAGGACACTTAGAAGGCAATGCCAGGCTGGGGGACAATCACTCACATGATTTGGACTCTCCAGGGTCAAGCCTCAAGTCACAAAACAGGATTTTTGGTGGAGTAGAAAGGATGCACTGACCCCTCTCACCTATGACAAATAAGAAAGACTGCAGCTAAATGACTCCACTGTCCATTACTGACCAGAGTCACACAGCAAGTGGAGGCAGGGGAAACCGCCAACTCTTTCTGTTGTAATATGGGAGCAGTCTTAGGGCCCCAAATCAACAGTTACCTCCCCCTACACCTGTGGTGTGTTGGCGACTACATCACGTAAGAACTTAACTTTACCCCTGGGTGACAATGACTTCCCCTCCCTCCAAGACAAATACTCTATCTCTAACCTCGGTGTGGCAGAAAGACAGTCTGGCTGTCAGGCTGGACATCTGGCTGGCTGGAGTCAGGGGGTGGCAGGGCTACTCGACTCTCGCTGGCATGGAACTGGCAGTGGATCTGGGCACTGGCCCAGGCCAGAGCCTCACTGTGGAAGAGGAAAAAGAAGGAATGAGCAGATAGTTCCTGACTTCACAAATGCTTTCCCTCCGATACTGTCTGACCAGACCACCAAGGTGAGATGACTGTCTAGTGACCAGGGAATCCAGAACCCCCAAAGTGAAACCATTACGCAATGCAAAGCGCATCAAGTTCAAAGAGGGAGGAGGAGGAGGAGAGGCGGGTAGGGGGCCATGGCATCCACATCTTTGTCGAAAAGCCCTTCCCTACAATGAGCAAGGAGGAGGAGACGGCAGTGCAGTTACAGGACAAGCAAAGCTCTGATTTAGAAGGAGTGAGCGATACCGGGCTTCCTCCCGGAAGGGTACCTTCAGTACCAGCATCCCCACCTGGATGCAGAAGTGGCGGTCGGGGGCAGGGGATTAGTGACAGTCACTAAACATTCCAGAGCCTCCCCCGCCAGAAACACAGGACCTCGACTCAGCTCAGCCACCACTTCAATCATGGCAGCTCCAGAACCAAATCTAGAAGGAAACACACACAGTGCCAGAAGTCAGTACCGGGGAAAGAAGGAAGAAGTGCTTGGGACCTAGGGTTATGTCTCGATCTGGGTCCCAAGTAGGGTTTTTCAAGTTTCGGTGCGGGTGGGAAGCGCTGGGACTTGGGGAGCTGGCAGGCGGATTGGATGGGCGACAGATACTGACTCTCTACTGCCTGCGTGAGGGCATCGCTCTTGCCCCAGACCTCTCTGAGTCCAGAGTCGGACTAGGCCCCCTGCGCCGCCACCCACAGGCTCCCAGGCCTGCCTCTGTCCCCGCTTCCCTCGAGGCTCCACATCCTAGGCCAAGACACCGCTGCGCGTCACGACTCTGGATACAAACGCGGACTCTTACGGATGGAGGTCCTCACCTGTCCGCCCCTCCGAGACCGGCTCGGAGATCGGTGGCGTCCGCGGTGCCAGCGGCGCGGCAGAGGCGGGACTTCCTATGTCACACTGCCGCGTTGAGGCACCCCTTCCGGTCCGACCTGTGGGGTGCTTCCGGCCGGAAGGGGCTCGGGTGGTCCCTGGGCTGCGGGTCACCCTCCCAGCGGTGGCACCTGAGCGCGGGCGCTGGGGATCCCGGCCGGAGGGATCCGGTACCCAGCCCTGGAGACCCTGGAGCGGCGGCCCGGGGCGGGGCCGAGGGTCGCCGGGAGCTCCGGGGCGGGTCCCAGGGGCGGTGCTTTGCGGGCAGGTACCGCGGCTCCGCCCCCGTCCGCCGAGCCGGTCGGCCTTGGGCCGGGCGAGCTAATCGCCGCGGCCCAATGACAACAAGGCCCAGCCCTTCCAGCCTAGGATCTAGAGACGCGACCCAAGAGAGCCCGCGGCTACTTTATTGCTGTGGCCACTGCCACCGCAGCCAGAGCTCTCAGACTTTACCCGGACACCAGCTTCCTACGGCTTCCCCCAGCGTCGGGCCCTCCGGGACCGTACCTAACCACAACTGGTGCCCGCGTTTCAAGACGTCAGAAACGTGTCAGCGGGACCCGAGGCCACCGGGGTCGTGAGGACCCAGGGATCCAGTGAACATGGTAACCTGCGTACCGGCCTCAGAGCAAATCAGCTGTGCCGATGGAGAGCCACAAGTTTATTGTCCTGAAGATACTGGGGACACCGAGGCTGTGCGGGTTACTGACTGCCGGAGCCCTGAGGACAGTGGACGCCAGAATGAGCCAGGCTCCTGCAATTCAGAGGACTCTGGGCAGCTGATGGCCTCCTACGAGGGTAAAGCTAGGGGCTACCAGGTGCCTCCTTTTGGCTGGCGGATCTGCTTGGCTCATGAGTTTGCAGAGAAGAGGAAACCCTTTCAGGCTAACAACGTCTCTCTAAGCAACTTGGTAAAGCATTTCGGTATGGGCTTGAGGTGAGTAGATCCCTTTGTTCCCATTCAAGACTCCTTGCATAAGTGGAAAAGGGTAATCAAGCCGCTGGGCCCCTGGTGCCAGTCAAGTGTGCCATATATCCCCTGCATTCTTTAACCCTGCAGTTTTTGAGGGTGAGACTGAAGAGGTTTTGCAACCCTTCTTTCCTAGCATCTTCCCCGGCTGCAAAGAGAAGGAGCATTTTGTCCGGCAGTCAATCTTTCCTATTTAGGCTGGCTCCTGAGCACTTCCTCTTTCCCAGACTTAACTTCAGGATTAGTTATACTCTGTGGCAAAGCAGAAGACCAGCCTCTGTTGTGTTGATACAGTGTTTTATTTGCAAGGAGGATGTTCTCCAGTCTATGTTACCTTGAGCAGCTGAAGCAGTCTGTGTACCTTATTTAAGCTTGTGCCGCTTCAGCCCCAGCATTCATCCGTTCCTTTCCTCAAGCTCGGACTCCTGGAATAGTTGAGTCTGGCTGTCGTCAACCCTAAAGAGAGGGTGAGAAGTTCACTCTATTCTGTGACAGAGGGCTTCTGATACACAAAAAGCAAAGACGGAATTGGGCAAAGTAGTGCACACATATAGTGCCACCTACTTGAGAGGCTGAGGCAGGGGATTGGTTTGAACCTAAGAGCTCAGAGCAAACCTAAACACCACAGTGAAAGCATCCCCAAGTAACAAATGGGGGAGAGCTGGGGAGAAAGCTCAGTAGTAGAGAGCATGCATGCCACCACTGGACAACTTCCCCAGACCCCTAAGGATGACTTCTAGCCAGATGTGCTTCAGCGTCCCCAGTGCTAGTAGCTAAGTCTTCCAGAGCCAGCCTTAGCTCTTCCTCCCATCCCAGAGGTTACAGACACTCCAGAGCAGGTACTATAGAACCCTTCTGAGTTCAAAGACTGATGATGAGCAGGCATGCCTATTAACAGGAGCAGAGGGATAGAAAGGCAGAGAGCATCATTCTGAGGTCATTCTGAGTCAGTGTACATATAAGCACAGTACTGCGGAGGGATGCATAAAAGTTGGGAAACTCAACCCCAGCAGCTTCTAAACTAGGGAGCCCTTCCTGCCCCAGTCAGTGCCGTGGGACTGGCAGGAAGTCCACTTACCTAACTAACCCCGGCTCCAGGCAATGAGAAGGGCCTTGTGCTGCCTGGATACTTGGCTCCCATGGGTGGCCTATCTCAGAGAACCATTCCTCTAGACCCTTTAGGAAACTGACTGTATTAGTTACTTTTCTTAGTGCTATGATCAAAACCGGACAAAAGTAACTTAAGGGTTTGTTTTGGCTTACAGTTTGGGGGTACATTCTGTCAGGCAGAGAAGTAATGGTGGCAGGAATGAAGGCAGCTGGTCACACGGTGTCACAGCCAGAAGCAGGGAACAGTGAAGGCTAGACCCCCACTTCCTTTCTCCTTTTTATTCAGTCCGGGACTCCAGCCCATGGGATGGTCACCCACAGTTAAGAAGTATCCTCCCACTTCAGTCAACCTAATATAGACAATCCTTCCTTCTAGGCATACCCACAGGCTTGTCTCTCCACCATCATACTGTTCCAGTCCGACTCTGGCCCAAAGCCTTTGTGTCCAAATGGGACCTAGGGTACTGAGACAGGCACAGAGGATTGCATGTGATCAGGATAAGGTCAAGAACAGGTGTACATTCATCCTGGCCTCTTAGCCACTCAGTGTGAGCTGAGTCACAGAGGCCTCAGGCTCTTGCTCAGCCCCTTGGACCTTGGCTTCCCATACTAGGATAGGGCGGGTATCATCGACACACAGCTTTTGGAATGGGACGGGTTGAGGATAAAGCAGAGGTGAGAATTCAGAATGATCATTTTTGAACTGGGATTGGTATTATAGGGAAAACTGAGTATGTCAGGAATGGCCAACTGCCAAACTAGATCAGGGAACCCCCTGGAGTGAGCTGAACTGAGGGGCACCCTGAACAGGAGTGCTGGCAGGCTAGTTATGGGAGTCTCAACTTAGAGTTCAGTTTTGACTGCTGTTCCCTTAGCCAGTGTTTACTACCCGACAGTCCTTTGCTCTGCCTGTCTTAGTATCTTCTAATTCTCCAATCCTCTGGCCTCTCACCGTGGTCCTCTCCTCTAAACTGGCCACCACCTATCCTTTGTCTTCCACGCCTTTTACCCTGTCTCTGGAGTACACCCTTCCATTATTCTTAATACATTCTTCCCCTCCCAACTCTCGCCCCAATCTGCCTTCCATTGCTCTTTCTATGTCAACTGTCTGTACATCCATTCACTTATGAATTCATCAAATATTTACGGGCTGCAGGCCCTGTGCCTTGTCCCGTGCTTCGAGCTGTGGCAGACATTCATCTAGTCTTGGTCATTGTTCCCGAACCCAAGGAACTTAAAAATGTCATGCTCACGTGAGGAACACAATGAAATAACAAGGCGGTGTCTAATTAGGAACTGAGATAGTGTGTGGCAATAATCATACCTGTCACCAATATTCTGCTTTATGACTTTCTTATCTGTTAGGCTATTTGATCTTTCGGTGATTACATGAGGTAGCTAGGGCAGAGTTATTCCCATTTTGTAGATGCAGAAACAAAAACTTGAGGGTTCACATATCTAATTACTTGTTTAGATGTGACTGAATGTTAGGTGTGAAGTGATTGGTCAAGAAGGAAAGTGGACATGGGAAAGACTGGCAGGGCAGGGCTTGTGACCTGAGGCTTAGTGACCCTCCTGAACGAGAATGTATAAGGAATAAGACTAGAAACAGGCGAGGCAGATGTCCTAGCCTTCAAAATAGAGCTGTCTACTTGTATGTGACAGTGTTGATGGTTTCCTGTTAGATACAAAACGAGGAGCAAGAACAGCGAAACACTGTGATTTTTGTTGTTGTTGTTGTTTTGTTTTGTTTTTCAAGACAGGGTTTCTCTGTGTAGCCCTGGCTGTCCTAGAACTTACTCTATAGACCAGGTTGTCCTCAAACTCACAGAGATCCGCCTGCCTCCTGAGTGCTGGGATTAAAGGTATGGGCCACCACCACCCAGCTAACGCTGTGATGTTTTAGAAAGCTTTACTATAGTGGGTATTTTGATTTTGTTTTATTTTGTTGAGACAGGTTCTCACTGATGCACAGGTTGTCCTGGGAATCATTATGTAGCCCAGGCTAACCTCAATTCCAAGTGCTGGTTTTACAGGCGTGAGCCATCATGCCCAGTTAATTTACTGGGTGTTTTTAAAGAGCAGAATCTGAAAACTTACAGTAAAACTGGAGGGGGATGGGGCTTATGGGGAAATGGTCCAGGACATAGAAACACCAGCTATCTGTAGCCTAGGTACTCAGTCTCCCTTTATAGTCTTTAATTGCCACCGTTCATAATCATAAATAAAGTCATTTTTAAAAGAGGAAGTCCTTTTGGCAGCTTCTGCTTGTTTGGAAATTAGGGGGATGTGTAGAGGATGTAGCTAGGGAAGGGCAGCTAGTCCTTTGAACACAGACTAAAGCTCCTGAGATTTAAGCGCACACAGTGGTGGTGGAGTCAGAACAATCAGAATAGAGAAACAAGGGTGTCCTGCATGAGGACTGGGGCAACTGGGAAGATAAGGGACCCTGAACTGGAGTAATCCAGAGGAAGACAGTTTGGAAGATATAGTGATGGGTCCTAGGTTATCGTTTGAGACAGAGTCTCACCATGTAGTCTGTGCTGGCCTCAAACTTGTGACCCTTCTGCCTCAGCCTTCAGAATGCTATGATTACAGGACTGTTTGTGGAGCGTGACATTCTTGGGACATTTAGGGGGAGATCACAGCGGAATATCAAGACAAATGCAGATAAGAAACAGCCCACTCACCCTCCTACTCACATTGACATTTGCTCCTCAGGTACTTGAAGTGGTGGTACCGGAAGACCCAGGTGGAAAAGAAGACCCCTTTCATTGACATGTTCAATTCTGTACCCCTGAGACAGATCTATGGTGAGTCTCAGCTCAGCTGCCCTTTTTAGAGATCTGATTTCTATGCTTCTGCGGAGGCAGGCAAAGAGGTTTCTAGTTCATGCATACTTCATAGCTTCATTCCTGGGTTTTTAGAGCCCAGACAGGAGATGTGGGCTTGCTTTCCTCTTCCAGTCCTCCACTG